GTCAAATTCACTAGTGTGACAGATTCGCTAGCAATGGATTTGGCCAGACACAATGCAGAAACAATGAATAAGGTGAGCATCAGTTACTTATCGCAGATACTGAAGGCATTTACAACAATCTTGAGGGATGAGTCTAACCCGAGAGATAATTATTGGCCTAGTGTGACTTGGAGTTCATGACTTAGTGGAGATTTGAACATGACATTTTCCAGGCCTGGCCCAATAGTATAAGTATTATACTTCAATGGTTCTATGTAATGAAGTTCTCTCTTAGCTAACCATTTGAATTTGATTTGTTTCTGCATAAACACCAAGTTTTCTCAATGATTGTTCTTAAAATAGCTATTTCTTGTGCTTATGGTGTTTTATAGCGCTTGTATACTGAAGCTTGGGAAAAAGACAAGACTACAATCCATGTGATGCCAGACACTCCTGAAATCATGCTAGCAAAACTCAACAAATTAAACTATAGTGAAGTGAGTATCAGGATGAGCGGAAGAGTGCTGCCAAGCACACAAAGAGAGGTTGTGCCTCTTCCAGCTTATCACAGGCCATGCCATGGTGTGGCTAAAATATGCTTAAATTGCCTGGAGGGGGTTGTGTCAATGCAACATTGCTGCATTGAACCCAGCAATTTATGGGCAATTATTTATATTTATTACATGAAGAAAGTTGACTTGGGTAATGCAGAAGTAAAACTGCCTTTTTTTCTCACAGAAATTGTACAAACTGGCTATGGAGGAATCAAAGAAGAAAGGCCACGATCTACGTGTTGATGCTATCCCAATTCAAGCTGCCAAAGCATCCAGAATTATTGCCAGTGATGTATGTAACCGTTTCGTTCCACAAATATTTTTATTAGAAAGCATTAGTGATTTTAAAAGCACATTGTTAGCTGTATTCTGCATAATGTGCAATTACTGTGATGGTTATAACCTCTGTAAAAGAAAGTACTTGATAAAAAATTTCTATGATTATTTAATTTTATATACTGACAAGTTAGGAGAATGAAATGAAACCCTGCAATTCTTTAGTGACACTAAGAAGTATTGAAAAAAATCAGAAAAACTGGTGGCTTAAATATTATAGAGAAAAGCATATTAAAAACATGCAGATTGACAGTAAGAGAAGTAGTTCCAGAGTAAATCTTTAGATAGTTACAAATGCTGGATAATAAATAGAGATGTATTAATGTAAGGTGGGACCTGAAGAACCATGCAATCAGTTCTGCACATCCAGAAAACTTGGCTCTGTGATTTATGAAAGGACTCCTCGCCTTCCAATGCCATACTGCATGGTGGGACTTGTGAATGATGGTAGTAAAAATCCTGCCAGGTATGATCAAGACCTGAGGAATCTTTAAATAAGGTCTTTTAATCTCATCCATAAGAGTGTAAACGCTTGAAGATAGAAACATATCTAGCCAAAGAAACAAACATGACCAAATGTATAAGCAATGAGAAATAAGCATAGGAGAACATAGATGGCAAAAGGTACTTAATGATGAATCTAACAGAAGAAAAGTACTGTTATAATTTCATCCAAATGAGAACAAGATGTCCCAGAAGACCGGTGGCTTATTAGGAATAGTGATAGGATGGGAAAGAAGCAAGGTAAATGAGACAACACACTAGGTACAAGTAGCAATACATGAAGGTGATGAGTGAAACCATTTTCATGAGTTATTATTTATAGCAATATCCTTGGAAAGAAACCATGGACAAGTAAAGGTAATCCCAGTCCTCACTGTTTTGTACACTTAACTGACAGGGAAGAGTTTTTATAAAGCGGTTACTTGATAAGCACTCTTTTGGTTACTTGATTTACACATTTGCTTTTATTTCAGTACAAATATAAGGAAGGCTATCGGAAGCAACTTGGACACCATGTGGGAGCGCGTAGCATAGAAGATGACCCTAAACTTGTGCATTCGATGAATGTAGCCAAGATGCAGAGTGAGAGGGAATATAAGAAAGACTTTATGAAATGGAAGACCAAGTATTCCAGTCCTGTGGACATGCTGGGGATCTTGCTGGCCAAGAACTGCCAGAAACTGGTCAGCGATATTGATTACCGCAATTACTTGCACCAGTGGACATGCCTGCCAGATCAGAATGATGTCATCCAGGCTAAAAAGGCATATGAGTTACAAAGTGATGTGAGTATGATACACAGAATGCATGGAGCAATTTGTATGTTCACTTCAACATAATGGATTGTGGCCAGTTGATTTTCCTCTATTGAGAGAATGCCTTTAATCTTGCATAATTATCCATTAATAGCATGGAAAGGACAGTCATTTTTCTAGCTTCCAGCTCACATCTACACATCACCCTATGCCAGCCTCCCATTCTCTCCTGGAGCATTCCTCAATCCTCTGGAACAGGTGGGTGTTGAGAGGCTGTAGAATGCAGGGAGAGTAGATAAATATTGCCTCCACTTTGTTCCATGGATGCAACCTCTGCTGAATCAGTCTTCCATCCGTGGAGGAACACCACTTGAATATAACCTGACATGTCCTATGGTTACATTGCACATGTGTGACTAGATTAAGTGGTACAGTTAAAAATTTTGTATCATCCAATGTCAACCTCCTGCACAGTATTTTATCAAGGAAGACAGTTCATATATGCAACTAAGCAGAGGTGATTCTTCAGTTCTGCTCTTCGTTGTTCTGACATTGTTGTATTGTATAGGCTTTGCTTGGTTTAATGTTGACAAGAACTGCAGATTTTGGACTGTCAGTAGTGGCTACAGTTCCTTTAGTAGCATCACAATACTCATTTTAAAAGTGAGAAAGAACAACAAACTTGTGTTTGCATGCCTATGAAAAGATTTCTTTTTAACTGAAAAATATCATCCAGTTTTTTAAAGCATGCAAAATAGTTTTCTGATGGAAAAAATCAATTTGTAGTTGTATAATGCTGCAGCTCTAAAAATTTGCATATATATTTCCAGAGGTATCACAGAGTCTAACATTGTGATTTCTCGTCTGGTAAACTGTAACAGCAGAATTCAAGAAATTCCATCAGGGACAGGTTATATAAATATAACATTATCAAACATCATTTGAAAATAACTACACAATCCCATATTTGTTAACTTCGAACCAACTCTACTGTATACAGTGGGGCTTACTTCACAATAAGTGTGCATAAGGTTGCAGAGCAAACAATGAAAATAGAACTTAAATATGTGATATCTTGAATAAGCTTCATCACATAAGCTTTAAGTAAGGACTTGCGCGTGTGAATGAACCATTAGAAATAAATAAATTAATCCCTCAAATCAGAACTTCTGAGCTATGGGCACAATAGCGCTGCTTAGGAAAGTCTGGATCTAGAAAAGACTGTGGCTAGTGAATGACAGCCAAGGGGCAATGGGCCTGATGCCATTACTGGCAAGATGACATGAGGCAGCAAAAGGGGCAGGGGCAAACTCTTACCATGTTTATGCATTGCTTGCTCTAGAAAGCAATGGTAAAACAGGATTCAGAATTGTTCCTATTCACTTTCTCCCCACCACCCCATTCTCTCTAGTATTTGCTATCCCTTTATTCCTCTCCCCAGTTTTTCTGTGCTCTGCTTAACCTCATCACATCTGACCTAAATGAGTATGTAGCCTCAGCAGGAGCAGTCAGAGCGGTTAATGTTCCTTCAGTAAACATAATCTAACATGTATTTGTGTTTTCTAACAGTAAGTTAGCTTGCAATTTTTAAATGTATACAAACCCCTGAACAACTCTAAGACTTCTGCAATTCCATCTATTAATTTATATTTTGCTGAATCTGCATGGTTTGCATGGTAGTATGATTCAGCAGCACAGTCTTCTGCTTGCTTCGTAAAGGTGCCAGGTCCTAGGGCAAACAAGCATTTCTGCAGTTGCTTCTATGTGTTTCTGCTTCGGCAGCTATTCCCTCCACTTGTAGCTCCGTACTAAGTTATTGTTGTAAACAAATTACATGCAGTATAGAACAGATATATTGGGATGCATGATGTCATTATGCACAGGCCAGAAAAGGATTCCATATTACCCTTTCCACATTCTCAAGATGCACTTTGGTAAGGCACAGAGCCCAAAGTCAGAAAATATTTTGAAAGCTTGTAATGGCAGAATTTTCATCCAAGTTTATAAGCTTGGGAGGCAGGTTATACATGATGATAGAGTCAGTTTGCTCACCACTGTTAAGAATCTAGAAACTATCCCTATGAAGTTGCTGTGTTGTATGGACACTGTCTTCCTTATATGCATCACAAATTCCCAAATTACGTTTCAGGTTGCTTACAAATCTGATCTGGAATGGCTGAAAGGTATTGGCTGGATTCCTTCTGGCTCCATGGAAGTTGAGAAGGTGAAGAGAGCTGGAGAAATCCTAAGTGACAGGAAGTACCGGCAGCCACCTGATCAATTCAAGTTTACCAGCATCACAGATTCTTTAGCGATGGAATTGGCAAAGCATAATGCTGAGACAATGAACAAGGTGAGTCTTCCAATTTACTTTAACCGGAACTGTGATGTTCTCTAATGTCAGTATTTGCTTAGAGAACGGCGCCATCAACAGAGCCAAGCAGAATGCCAAAAAATAGCTCATTCAATGTTGTCTATGTTGTTTCACTGCCATCCAATGCTCTTCTGTTTTCCTAGCTGGTTTTCTAGCTTCCTTTAATGTCATTTTTTCCTTTGAGTTCACAGTTGGTTCACTTGCCCTTTCTGGCATTAACCCAATTGGTTGTGACAATATTTTAATAACTTTTAACATGGATCTGGATTTTATTTGTATTATGTTTTGTTTTATTTTATGTAAGCCGTCCCAAGGCTATGCGATGGGACGGCATACAAATAATATAAACAAACAAACAAACAAACATGTGATTTTTTTACAAGTCCATGATTTGTCCATGATTTCACATCAGAGATAATGGGGAAAAATGGAACTTCACAGCTAGCAGGAATAGAGGGCAGTGTGGACAAATGAAACCAGAGAATGTGAGGACAAAGAAGGAAAACAGAACTAGAAAATAAGGATGATGTTCTCTTGGTGGAAGCTACAGCTGTCAGTTCTAGGTTTTGGGAAACCCTGCTTTGCTTCAGGCAGTCTGAGTAGTTCCAAAGCTATCTACTTCCATTTTTGATTCAGTCTTTGTTCAATCAGTGGACTGGCCACAAATAACCTTTTGGAATCATTAGCAAGTGATATGCTGTATCTTCACAACATCTCATTGTATAACAGTTTACTGTTGCTACCAGATAAATTAAAATGGCACCCAAATTGATCTTCTTTCTTATTTTGTCAGGAATGTAGCAGATAACCCACATTCTGAGAAGTCAGAAAATTTAATTTTGTTCAATATATTATGCTGTTATATTCAGTTGAGAAAATTCCAGGATTTAATTTTTTTCTAGTTTGGTATCATTTAAAAAAGTATTTTGGTGGGTGTTATAGATGTGGTAGCAATGCCATCAATATTCTTCTGATACTATGCTAAGGCTTGTGCCTTAAGACAAAATATTAACTTTTCTGCTCTTCTCCTCCTCAGCGGTTATACACTGAAGCCTGGGATGCTGATAAAACATCAATTCATGTCATGCCAGACACTCCAGAGATTTTGCTGGCAAAGGCAAACTCAGCTAATATAAGCCGGGTAAGACCGTGTTTAAATTCATATTTATTTTACAACTATGAATTTTAAAAATAATTTCAGGATTCTTTTCTCTTTACAAGTATGCTTTTAAGAATCAGTAAGCACAGTATTAAAACTTCAGCTGAAATTCTATGTTAACTAAACTTATGTCCATGCCCTTTATCCTCCCTATATAGTCACTTTATATCCAGGGATGGGAAGAGACTAAGAAGAAAGGATATGACCTGAGAGCTGACGCAATTCCAATTAAGGCTGCAAAGGCATCGAGGGATATAGCTAGTGATGTAAGCAGATGTTACAATGTCACTCTTTCTTTCTATAAAAATACAAGTTTCTATTGTTGTGGTTTTCAAAATGATGCCTATAAAAATGATAAATAAAAAGGTGGATTTTTTAGAATGAAACCTGAACTGGGGAAGCAGACACTAGTGCCCTTCTCTAACACCATAGATGAATTTGTTTTGGGACATTTTATTGTCTTGGAATTCTTTTGAATTCATTTTGGGTTCAGAAAATATTCCAAAAATGGCTTGTGTACACTTCTTGTGCTGTTTCCTAGGGGCTAAAAGTGTTTGAAATCTTGCTGATTTGAGCTTTAATCTTTTTAAAAATATCTGTTCATCATTTTATTACTAAGCAGTTGCTATCTTCTCCAGTGATATTTAATAGTCCTAAAATTTGCCATCTCTCTCTTACAGTATCAATATAAACTGGCATATGAGAAGCAGAGAGGGCACTGCATTGGATTCCAAAGTGTTGAAGACGATCCCAAGATGTTGTGTTCCATAAATGCAGCCAAGATCCAGAGCGATAGGTTGTACAAGCAAGACTTTGAGAAGTGGAAAACAAGGATCCACTGCCCTGTTGACATGCTGTCAATCTTGCTGGCTAAGAATTGTCAGAGCTTGGTCAGTGATGTGGATTATCGCCGTCACTTGCATGAATGGACTTGCCTGCCAGACCAGAATGATATCATTCATGCAAAGAAAGCATACGACCTCCAGAGTGATGTACGTAAAAGTAAATGTGAAACACTTGTGCCCATGGGAGAGGAACCATAGCTCAGTTCTATATCATGTACTTTGCATGCAGAAGGACCCAAGTTCAATCCCTGCTTAAGATGCTGGTGAACAGCTACCTGTCAAAGTACTGGATTAGTGTGTCTAGACTGCTTCCTATATCCTGGTACTTTTCAGGATGCAATATGCAGCCCTAAACACACTGATCCGGAAGTAAGCCAGACAGACTTCTGAACTGGACTTCCGATTCAACATATTTAGGATTGCGCTGTCAGAACAATATAGCCTTGCAGTAAGGCTGCATTAATCTGTTCATGCCTGCATGAGACAGATCAGACACAGGGGAGTGTGATGTGGCAAACCTTGATGAGAGTTAGTAAAACTTCAGTTAAGAACCCTTGATTAGGAGTTATTTGGACCACTGGGCTGAAAGCAAAAAATGAAATTTAATGGAGTCAAGTGCCAAGTTCTGCACCTAGGGGTAAGAAATCAAATGCATCGTTACAAGATATGGGGTACAAAATACAAAAAGATACAAAAACACAAGACATAGTTTCAAGTATCAAACATACTACAAATTAGAAGGATCTTGGAATTGCTGTAGATCACAAGTTGAATATGATTCAACAATGTGATGTGGTTTCGAAAAAGGAAAATGTTTATTTTGGCTGCATTAATAGAAATATCATGTCCAAATTACACAAAATATTAGTTCCCCTTTGCACAGCACTTGTTAGGCTTCATAGTGAGTACTGCATCCAGCTGTGGACCCCACAGTTTGAGAAAGATGTAGTTAAACTGGAAATGGTTCAGAGAGGAGCCACAAAGATGATCAGGGAGCAGAAGCAAAGCCCTGTGAGGAGAAACTGGAAAAACTGGGCAAGTTTAGTTTTGAGAAGAGAAGAAGAAGGCCAGGATCTCCTCTTAATCATCCCAGAAATGATTGGTCTGTGCCATTTGTGTTCTGATGGACACATGGGGTTCCTGTGCATTGCTAGAGGAAAGTTAAAATGGCTGTAGTAACCCTTGTAGGCTAAGGAGGTGGATCAGAGCCTTGACTGTGATTCCTCCCCCCCACCGCCCCAGTATTACTTCCCACCAAATTTAGGTTGCCAGAATTTCAGTTAGGAAATTTATATTTTTCCTCCTTCACAGAATGTGTACAAGTCAGACTTGGAATGGCTACGTGGTATTGGTTGGATTCCAGAGGGTTCTTTGGATGTCTTAAGAGTGAAGAAGGCCCAAGAGATCCTGAATGAGAGATTCTACCGCCAGCGGCCAGAAACGCTGAAATTCACCTCTGTTGTTGATTCCCCAGATATTGTCTTGGCTAAGACCAATGCTCTACATCAGAGTGGGGTAAAGAAAACTTCTGAATTTTCATCTCTGCATATCAGAATTGTTATAGCTGTAGTGTAGATATATGGATACCATGGGATCGAGAAGGGGATATGGAAATACTAAGCTCCATAAATGTGCAGCTTTGTTTTTAATAGCCTGCCATGAGTAGGTACTCAAAGCCATTTATGTTGCCTTTTAAGATCAATTTAGATCCCTCCAAAGTCAAGCAAATTTTTCATTGTGCCCGTGATTAGTCCAAAATGTTGCAGCGAATGCTGTTTCCTTGATTGTATTAAATATGCACTTTGCTAGACAGTCTTTGAAGTAAGTGAATATTTGAAAATCTTCCATTCAGTCATGTAACAGAAAGGACTTTTGTGCTTTTGAACAGGGCAGTAAATATATTTTCCTCTGTGTCAAACTTTTGCTCAAGGTGGTTGAGCTTGGGGAAGATTGCAGCAGGTTCTTCTGTGATAGGAAAGGCAATTTTTTTTTTTATTTTTCCCATAGCGGTAGGTACCTTAGTAGCCAAACTGAAGCTGCTTTGATCTTTCCTAAATTCTCACTCTGGATGTGATATTGCTCATGCAGTTATACTCCTTGTTGTATGGTACAGGGCATAGCTTAAAAGCACCCTTCCCTCCCTGGCATCTGTACCTCTCAGACACCCTGCCCCTGTACCTACTCTACAGTAAAAACAAAAGTTAGAAAAGGATGTAACTGCTAGACACTAGACACAGACATACAATAATGTCTGCTTTATACACCAGACAAGCTGTTTGGAGGGCTAATGAACTACACTGACATAGTAATTAACTTGGTACTTGGGAGAATCCGCCAGACATATATGGTGTTTCAGCTTAAAACATGGCAAATTATTAAAAGTCTTCCATGAATAGTATGTATTTTGGTTCAGCATTTATATCCATATCACTGTTGCATGTGAAGTGAGGAGAAACAAGGATATGGCCTTGGTCCAAAGAATGGACTTGTGGGCTAAGAAGAAGAAAGTGAATAGTGGCAAAATACTTTGCTTGTTGTTTTACTCAGCACTTCCCATTGCTCACTTTTTAAAATCTCTACACTGACTTGATTCTTTGAGAGTAGAAACTGCAGCAAAGATGTGTGTCTCGTCCTCTCCTTGGCTTTTGAGCTTGCAGACACAATGGATTGGTCCTTTTGATTCAAGCTGGGATATTTTGATATACAGTATATCATATGATTAGAATGAGGTGGCTAGAAGGAGTCACTGAAGCAGTAGGTGTGAGCTTGAGTGGACTCCAGGGGATGGTGGAGGACAGGAAGGCCTGGAGGAATGTTGTCCAGGGGGTCGCAATGGGTCGGACACGACTTTTCGTCTAACAACAACATATGATAAGAGAAATAAGGACTGTGGTTTCTTTCTCATTAGGTATTATATCGTGAGCTCTGGGATAAAGAAAAGACACAGTTCACACTTCCAGTGGATACTCCTGAGATCATTCTGTCCAAAGTGAACTCTCTGAACGTCAGCAAAGTAAGACAATAAAGAATTACATAGGAATGCTTCTGTACAGAAATGTTGACATTTCTTATAAATCTGGGTGAGAATTTTGTAGTGAGTATATGAAACTCCTATTTGAGTCTTCACAAAGTCTTCACTATGATCTTGATAGCTCATACCCATGTGTTCAAGCCAGAAATGTTCTTCAGGGAATATAAACTGGGGTTTTCACTTTACATGGCAAATATAATTGTTTGAAATGACTTTTGATGCATCAGCATTCAGCAAGTTTCCACAGTTGCAACTTACTGGGGCTTATGTACAATTGTATCTCTTGATTAAGAGGATTCTTTTCCTTTCTGTCCATCAATCTAAAATATTGAGGCTCTTGCAAAGGACGGCATACAAATATCCTGAATAAATAAATAAAATATTACAGAATTTCATTCCTTTGCAGTTTGTACTTAGTTTGTGTAAGAATTTGTGTAGCCCTGATTCCAGGTTTATGTCTTGACTGGGGAAATGTATTAAGGATTGAATTTGATGGACCACAAGATCCCCTCCGAATATGAATGTGTTTAAAGATAAATCTGAGTGCATGTGGAATTCTTGCAAGTGAGCTCTACTATGGAAGGCTGGCATAGGAAAAAACACAAGACATGCTAACATTTTGTGTCATAGCAACAACTTAAGTGCACCATTAGTTGAAATAAGCACATGAGCTGATATCAATATTCCTAATAAATACACTGACATGCATGCTGTATGTTCATTTTCTCCACAGAAACATTATCAATTAGGGTGGGAAGAAGCTAAGAGGAAAGGTCACGACTTAAGACTAGATGCTATTGAAATCCAACATGCCAAAGCTTCTAGAAACATTGCCAGTGAGGTACTGTCTACTGTTTTAAGTTATTTCCTAAAAGGTTGAATTGCAAATAACACAATATGATATTGAGTAGGAAAAGGAGGTATATATCCTAAAACATATGTTGGACAATTGTAATCAGCTGTGTTCATAGGCCCAATGTGTGAATTGGAAACATGCATTTCCTTCTGCCATGAAAAACATGTGCAATACTAGTAGATTCTCCTTGATGGGTAAAATGTGAAACTGCTAACAGATGTTCGGAAGCAATGCATTATGGTATTGTCATCAATCATTGCAATAACTTGTAAAGGATTAAATTTAATGAATAAAGCTAATATTTGAAGCTAACTTTAGCAGACATATACAATGGATATAGATATTACATTTTAATTATTAAAATAAATGATAAACTTTTGAAATGTATATAGACTTAGATATTTGATTATTTGATGACGAGATCATTTTCTTGTGTTTCTGCTATAGTACAAGTACAAAGAAGGCTACCGTAAGCAACTGGGACATCACGTGGGATGCCGTGACATCTATGATGACCCCAAGATGGTACTGGCTATGCACGTAGCCAAGCTGCAGAGTGAGAGGGAGTACAAGAAGCATTTTGAGAAGTATAAGACCAAGTTCAATAGCCCAGTGGACATGCTGTCCATCTTGTTGGCCAAGAACTGTCAGAAACTGGTTAGCGACATTGATTACCACCACTACCTGCATGAATGGACCTGTCTCCCAGATCAGAATGATGTCATCCAAGCCAAGAAAGCATACGAGCTACAGAGTGATGTGAGTAAACAAACAAAATGCTTGTTACATATATGAGTATATGTAACTGGATTACTGCTATTTGCTCTACAACATAGGTAGACAACTTCTTTGTCCTGTGGTCAGATTGTCCAATTTGGACCAAGCAAGTAGACCAGCTGCTATTATCAGGATGGGAATTGCCCCAAAGTCCTTCTCATTTTCACGATGACATGTGACTTCAGCAATGCCCATCCCCACAAATTTTGGTGCCTCTTTCTGCACAGAGAAGAGGACTTGATTAGGTCCTGCAAGACTGGAAAAGTTGGGTTTCTTCTTCTTAAACTCTTTGTATTGCAATTCCAGAATAAGTGGTGTAAGAAAAAAATTGGCCAAGACTTCCAGGCATGTGCCTCCTTTCCTTGTGGCTCATATTCCAACTGGATGGCAAGCAATGCAAAAAGGGACTCAACTGGCTCCCACAAACGGGAACCTACTCCCATCATATTGCTAATCTCAGAATTTACAAAGGAATTCCTTTTCCCTTTTCCTTTCTCCTTCAGAGGCCTCATGCTGCACTGGGGCTTGGGTGGGGGTGGCACTCTGCAAAGGAACTTCTAGGCCAGATTGGGAACCTCTGTAGGTCAAATTAGGCCCAAGATCTTGTGGGTGCCTTCCCCTGTTGAAAGGTTTTATTATGGGCCACAACTGTTGCTGTTCTATAGTCTGTTACTTCCCAGGTGGGTCTATAAAGATAAGCCTGTTCATGCAGTAACCTCACAGTCTAATCCTTTGACTTAGAAATGGTGGCTGAGTGGTTTTGTGCTGGGAGGAGACCAAATATTAATTACACTTCAGCAAAAAGATGACATACCTTTTCATAGACTGAAAGAAATGTTTTTGGTGGTATCGTTAACAGCCTAATGCTTTGCTTTGCAGAATCTGTACAAATCAGACTTGGAATGGTTGCGTGGCATTGGCTGGATGCCCGAAGGCTCTGTGGGAGTGGTCCATGCGAAAAATGCTCAAGACCTTATCAATGAAAGATTGTACAAGCAACCACCAGATGCACTGAAGTTCACCAGTATTGCTGATCCACCACCAGTCATCCTGGCTAAGACCAACAGCCAGCAGATCAGTGATGTAAGTAAAAGCCTTCACACCTGGCCAGCTGGTCTGGGTGCAGGAGGACATTGTGGTTGGAGAGGGAAGGGGGGCAGGGGGTCAATAGCAATGTGCCAAGTATTCAAACCTATCGGGTGACGGGACAGTACATAAAGGGTTTGCTTAGCCCACACAACCCCACCTGGCACACTCTCCAGATTTTGCAGTTTATCTACTCTGAGTGTACCTGGTCGCTTCCTTGGGAGCCAAGTAGGAATGTTTCTGCAGGCAACTGGACTGACTGAAGGTTGCTTGATTTTTGCTGCTTTCCCTACCCCCTGGGCAGAATCTGCATTAGGTTAATATGAGCTTAGCTTGATTAGGTCAGATTTATCCAGGAAACCAGCCTTATCAGATTTAGGCCTTTATAACCACCTATAAGGTGACTGGCATTTTCAGAAGCTTCACACTCTGGGTTTTGCAGCCCACTGTGAAGTTACCTTTGAGGCAGACTCAGCTCACCCAATCGCAGTTTTCTGGCCCTGAAAGAAAGTAACATGGGAAAGCTTCCCAATACCAGGATGATATAGACCTGGGTGGTGGCAAGTAGTTAGATGCCACCTGGCAGGGCTTGCATATAACTTACCGCAAAATAGCTACCTATAAAGACCAGGCGCCTATACTGTCCCCACCTGTGGAATATCTGTTTTAACTGAATGCAGCCCATGTTTATACTGAGTCTGTCTCATTATCCCCCCCGCCCCCATTTGCAATGTATTTGCTATGCTGAAGTGGTGCTGGGGTATCGGCTAAATGTGGGCTGTATGGGTTAGGAAAGGAGAAAGTCTTTTCATCATGCAGTAGTATAATTTGGTCTTTGCTTCTTCTCTAGCGCCTGTATCGTGAAGCCTGGGACAAAGACAAGATTCAGATCAGTATTCCAGTGGACACCCCTGTCATGTTGCAATCTAAGATTAATGCTCTGAACATAAGCAATGTAAGAGAATGTATGCACAGTTAGCACATGGGTCTAGACGGATGCTGATATTTACATACCTGTATGTATGTGTTGACTCAGTTGCAGCTGTTCTTAAAAACCAAAAGGCATTTGACTCACTAGCTTTGTGATCCTTTTCACAAGGGGGTAGTTTAAATTTATTTTCTATTGCAAAGTACAAAAATGATCAAATCAAACCATAAAAGAAGGAGGATCAAAAGAGCAAAACTGAAAGTATTACGATTTTGGAATACAATTTTTAAAAATCCATAGCACTATCTGTTCCCAAAAGGAAACTGCCACTGGGCGTTGCCAAAACATGAAAAGATATGCGTTAGCAGCATTGCACTTTTCAACAATCCGCTGATTTAGTTAAGCCTTCATCAGAAGGATGCTGTGATAGCCAGTATACTTGAAGCTTCATTTTTTTCCTGAATTAACTATTAAGTAAGATCCACAGGCCCTTGCAAAATAGATAATGATGAAGCCCTTGATTGGCAGGATGGGGTGCTCCCGTCCATTATACCATTTTTGCTTAAGACTCTGTGTATCATAGGCAGCTCTGAAGATGTAAAAGCAGCAGGACCATACCTGGATATTTTGCCATGTGGGCATAGCTGGCCATATATATTTAGCACTGCATTGATCGACTGGGCAAGACAAAGTGCTCCAGTTCATTATTCCATTCTTGGTAGAGAGTCTGGGAATCATAGTTATTCACTGATGATAGATACTTGTAGAATCTATTATTCTATTTCTAGAATAGAAAAGTTGGAAGGCCTATGTAGGCTGGTGTAAATGTTTGGCATCAGTCAATGTTTCCAATAACACAGGCAGCTCTGAAGCTGGAAAAGCAGCAGAATCAAACCTGGATTCTAACAAATGCTTCAGTTGCATATATTGCTATGCAGCTGTAGCTGGCAATTTATATCTAGCATGCAAAGTGAAAAATGGCAAAACATTATGATCAAAACTGACAATCTGATCCAAAGTAAAAATTGGGATTCAGATCCTCCAAACAAATGGTTTCCTGCTGATTTAAAACCTGAATTTCTCCATAAAATTAATTTTGCATGTGAAAATTCATGCCATTAACTCCCTAGTTGTCACAACTGGAGGAGGCGCATTATCTGGTTTGGTATAGTGAGAGCCAGAAATGAATACATCAAAATGGACCAGAGAGAAGGATCTAATTTAAATGGAAAAGGCCAGATTCTAGTGTACATCAACAAATAATCCCAAGGGGGTAAGGAAAGATCAGGGAATCCAAATCCACTGTTTTTGATGAAAAGTTGCATTCTTTTCAGGGAAGTTTGTGGTAAAGTGGAATCTCATAAGAATTTATGAACCCACCTCCATTAAACTTCTACAAGTGTGTACTCAATATAACAACACTTTAGTATAACTTTAGTATTTGCATTAACAACTGGACAAGCATTAAAAGTAACATAGTTAAAATCAGTTACTTTTAATTAGCTACTTACTTAAAATTGTATTCACATTATTTCTTTGGCAAATGTATAGCCAACAGCTGTTGTTGAAGCAGATGTTTACATGATGTATAAGTGTGAATACAATGTGCGTAAAAGGTACATTAAGATGTACACATTATGGTGACTTCTGTGGGCACAGTCCATAGGGATGTTGTTCTGCACATCCCATGTAATCCTGTGTAATCCATGGGTGCTGTGAAAAGGCATGGAACTGCACTGTATATGAGTAATATTGATCATTTAGTTTTTGAAATAAGTACTCCAGAATCTTTGAGATTTTTCTTTTGAAAAATGCAATGCTTCGTAGCATTTGAAGATAATAATAAAGATGCAATAAGCTTAAGGTCAGCAAGATCTAAACTCAGTTTAGAAGTGTAGAGATCTAGAAATAGTCTTCATTTCACTCTTTAATATAAGCCAAGAAATCATGACTCTGACATGATAGGGCAAGACACTGTAGTGTACTTTGAACAAGTGTCTAAGGAGAGCTCCTTCCTTCCAAGCCCCTGAAGAATAAATCTTAGCATTGTTAGCTCTGCATTTATTCCTTATTCTTATTAATCTGACTTCATGCATAACGTGTGTGTGACTTTCTTATTTTTCTTACCAAATAAAATACTTAATACCATCAAAAGGTTTGCCAAACATAAGCATGATAGAGAAAACATGAGAGGAATGAAATCTATTTCAGGGATGAGAGTGAAAACTTGACCCTTTTCATCAGCACAGATTAAACTGAAAATAGAAGTATGTCTCAGGCTGTACTTATCTAAAGATGGGGGCGAGAGGTCTTAAGTAGATTACTACCACAGTTAGTGGTGGTACATTTTTCAGTAGGTGCCTGCTCAGGTAAACCAAATGGAGCTAAACTTCTGCAAGTGACTTTTGTAGCCCCAGTGCCTTCCATTTCTTGAGCGATATGTTCCTTTACTCATCTAGTTCTATTCTTATGGATTCTGCTTAAATTATTTGCCACAACCATTAATTCATTCACTACCTTTCTCATCTAGAATCAATGTAATTTGCAAAATCACTCTTACATCTGTCTATAAGTTAGATTTATGTGTGGTTGCATATCACTTATTCACTAGAGGACATTCACATTTTTCCATATATTTATTGGTTTTAGTTATTGATGCATTTGATTTATATCCCAAATGTTTTGAAAGGAACCCAATGAGAATTCTAAGGTATTCATCTTCAGAAACATGCCCTATGCACACTTTCCTAGCAATATAGTCCCTTGGACATAATGGGACTTACTTCAAAGTAAGCTTGCATAGGATCACACCAATAATTCCTGAATGACTTTCATTTCTTTCCCTCACATCTTTATGACTTTATATGAAAATTAGATGCTACTTTTGATTGCAGAAACATCATACTATAGCCTGGGATAACACCAAGGCTATAGGTTATGACATAAGGGCCAATGCAATTCCAATCAAGCACACAAAAGCCTCTTGAGATTTTGCAAGTTTATCTGTTCTTAAAGCAGATATCCATACAATGTATGTGTGAGAATGGCATTTGTATTAAAGATATAATAAAAAACCAATGGTGTATACATTATGCTTGACACCTATGGGTACAGTCCATAGTCTGTTATCCTGTATAAATCCTATATCTATTTTTACTAAACCAAGAATTGTTTCTTTATCTTTCTTGCAGAAACATTATACTGGAGCCTGGGATGAGGCAAAGGCTAAAGGTTATGATATTAGGGCTGATGCAATTCCAATCAAACACGCAAGAGCCTCTCGGGATATTGCGAGTGAGGTACAAGATCTATTTACCGTTGAAAAGCTCTATTTTCAAGTCACCACTATGTACAGTAAAATTGTTGCCTAACATAATCCAATGCAATTGCTGTGTGAATGCATGTATTTAGCATTTTCTGTCCCATTATTCAATCAAAGCAACATCTTGAATTGCTTCCTGGTTGAGTTAAACCTTCTTGAGTATATTATATTCACATGTTCAAAATATCATCTGAGAGCAATGTTGCCCATATTTACTCGGAATTAAAATCAACCATGTTCAATGGGCCTACCCCCAGGTAAAATTTAGTTTGCCATCTCTGAATTGTTGCTTTAGGACAGAGAAGTTCTCATCCCTGAGAGATTGCAACCAGATATAGAACTCCATTTATGTTGCAAAAGTATCCTTTGCGTATGCTCAGGATGTTTAGCACCTACTGGTTAATCATTCTATAATACCGTTTTGCACAGCGAAGATTCAGTTGAAGACCCTTGATGGTTTCCTCTGCTAAAAATGAAATTCCCTAAAAACTGGAGCATTGAGAACACCACCTCATTTTTCTACTTACACTGGTATTAATTTTTTAATCTTTTGTTTTTTCTGTTCAGTACAAGTACAAAGAAACCCACGAGAAACAGAAAGGCCACTATATA